AACAGACAGATTGTCAATTCTCGCTGTAGATCTTCAAGTATCATTCCTGCTATTTGAATCGCAAAGAGAAACATTTAAAATTTCAACTGGAACATTATTTAATTAAATTAATGGAAATAGTTGTTTCCGAGTCTAATAGGATATCATACGAGCAACGGGAATTAGCCCTTGGTACATCTTTATTTTAACAAATATAATACAATATGCAAATGCACGATATATACTGACGATATAAATTTTTATGATTTGTAGAAGCTATAGTAAGATTGTGGAGAATACCCGGTTTACCCGCTGAGTTATATTTAAATTACGATTGTGGGCTTTACTGCACGAATTTGTACGAAGAACTTATGAAAATGTTTTCTAAGGTATCTCTCCTTATAAATATTATGAATTAATGGAATCAGGAATTTTATGTCTTTAAAATTTTTATTTAAATTTTTATTTAAAATTTTTATTTTTTAGAATGTTTCTCTACCAATAACTAATGGTATGCACACCATACAATTGATATCCTTGGACGCCATAATAATGCTGATCATTGGCATGAAGATTCGTTGTAAAGGCGAGTTGTGCAAGCCATCGCGTCACGAAGCGTCATTAAATCTACCTACACGGGAAGACTTGCTCGCTATAAAAGCAAACAAGCGGGTGAATACTTTTGCTTTTCTTTACGTCAGATACTTCTACTTCAGATGGACTAAATTTTTCCTTGTTATTTCCAGTGGTTGGTTCTTGGCACGGAGAAATTTAATGAGAATCCACGGGAAGGTATAGCGAAACTTACGGAACACGGTCTCCTAGGTGGTACTCCCGGTCATTCGGATCCCGAAAAAGTCGCAAAACTTCTAAGAGAGTATCCTGGTTTGGATAAGAAAGCGATCGGCGAATACATCAGCAAGAAAGAAACAAAAACATTCTCAATTATTTCGTGCATAATTTCGATTTAAGAAATACCCGAATCGATCAAGCGCTGCGACTTTATTTGGAATCGTTCAGATTACCCGGGGAAGCTCCTCTTATATCTCTTTTACTCGAGAAATTTGCCGAGCATTGGCATGTGAGTATACATAATCTAGAATTTATTAGAAATAATACAGGCGTGAAGT